ATAGCAGTGCAGATCAGTGCAAATAAATGAATTAATGAATAAATGAATAAATGAATAAATGAATAAATAAATAAATAAATAAATAATTAAAAATAAATAAATAGATCTATATAAATAAATAAATAAATAAATAAATGGGGATGGATTAATTGATCATCTATTTATCAATAACTATAATCACCTTCTCCTCGTAGTTTAGTCCCGACCAAGGCCCTAGTTTCCAGCGACCGGCCAACTCATGCCATGCACTAGCGCATAGATTAAACTCACCCTATACAAACATAATCACGTTATTTCTAGAAAAGTGGTTAAGCTACGACATCAAGAAGAACTTAAAAATAAGATATTAAAATGTAAAAAACTCCTTTGTTTTTATCGGACCATCATCGATTCAATATTTATCTGAAAATCAATTTAATTTTAAAAAATAACAATGCAAATTCCAAACTGATATCAAACAGTATATTTTGAATATTGTGTGCAATCTTCTTTTCGGCCTAGAAAAAATGAACAATTTTTCAAGATTTACTTAAACTGAAAAAACGTTTACATTTCTTTCCTCTTTGGCTTATTTTTAGCAAGAAACTTAATGAACCGTCCAGGGATTATGAATTTTTTAAATTATCTGTTATTTGTAAACAATTTTGGTTTGTGTTTTGAGAACAACATTTTTGGTTTTGGATCCGAATCTGGAAGTTAGCAAATAGTACCTGTTCTGTATAACTATAAAGCTCTGCTAGTTCAGCTCCTAAATTATCCGAGTCCGCGTAGATAAAATCAATATCAGGAGATTCCTCGTCCTGAAACAAAACATTTATCATTATCAGAATTTCAAATTACAATCCATTTTTTAACTTTCTTACACTTTAAGCCTTCGTCTAATTATTGATGACAGAAATATCCTCGTTATTTTCTCTAAAAATTGCGTGCAGACAGTCACAAAGCTGGAGAGTTAGTTATATACACTGTAACTTCTATAATTTCCAATATTTCCTGTCAAATGCCGTTTTTTAATGTATGATTGAAGATTGTTTTTTTTATACGTTAGCAAAACATAAAAATAATATTTTTTTTGAATATAAAGCAACATTGTTTTCAGAGTTATCAACAAAAGTGTGTCTGCAGAAAGAATACTTGAGTCCTATATTTTCAGCTAGAAAAATAATGATAACCTTGTTCAGACAAAGGTTTAGAGGGTTCCGCTGTGAATCGGAAATGAAACATTACAAATGCAGGGTCACATAAAATTATGTCTTTAGTCCCGTTAAACATGGTTTAAGTGAGGATACCTGTGAGTCCGGTTTCTGTCTACGAAGTATTTCTCTAAGTTTGGGAAGACGTTTCCCGTTCCCGTTCACCTCGTCCATGTCAGTTTATCATTCTGTTCTAAACCGTACTTCAGTAATCAGTACAAAACAAACGGACTCGCTGCTTTACATAAACAATAATATTTGTGCATATTTAAATTAAAACAAATCTAAACAAAATGTGTTCATTCGCAACAAATGAAACAATACAGATGAAAAAGAAAATTCATACTATTAAAAGATATTCTACTTAAAAAACGTTTTAACAATATTTTGAAATGTTGATGTAACTACAGTTCTTATATTCTTAATAAAAGTTATGCATGGGATGGGAATGTATAAAGATCATCCTTCAGCTCCTTGAGCAAATTGTACATTGAGATTTGCGGAAGAAGTGGGGGAGTTAATTAGGGGGTTAATCTCATTGGCATAAGGGAATTCTCCGCGGTGTGACGACTGTCCGGGGATTTTTCCCCCTGGTAGACAGGCTGCCAAGGAACATCATCGTGGTATCGTTTCATGTGCCAATCAATACTGTAGGTTTTCTGATTACAGATTGTACAGATCGTCTCCATCTCTCCTTTAGTGTGAACCTACAGTACACAATCCATTCAATCTCTTTCTCTTTTGTTTATTTTATTAAAATTCTTTAAAATTTATTCTTATATAATTTATATATGTTATTTTTTTTTATTTATTCATGTTTCTATTGAAATGTTGGGTCATTTTTCATGATTATGTGATTCAATAAGATGTTTGATAATGAATGTCTAGTTTTTTAATGTCTAATACAATTAATGTTTCTTATTATTATAAATTACCTAGATCTATTCCCATATCGTCCAATGAGTTCTGTTTCGCCATCCGCCCCAACATTCCTCTCCTCCGCCTACCAGACTCAATAAGCTCTACCCCTGTGGCTGGCGGACTAGCTGCCCGCATTGTCTGACTTACAGTAACTGTATCTTCCTTGATGGGTGGAATACCTTAAAATGAATAAAAATTAAATTAAAACCGCCTCGTTTGTACACAAAACACACAAAAGTTAATTAAGAGCCTAAACTTGGAGACAATTACTGCAAATCTTGTCATATCTGTATAGGATTCAGTTTAGATTCACATTTTTATTCACTGGAAATACTTATCCCAGATAATGGAAATATTTTCCTCGAATTGCACAGAAATAGTACTTCCATTTAACTTAAACTTCCTTTTTAACTATTGTGCCAGGTCGAGGGTGCGTCGAATTGCTTGAGTATATTCTACAGATGACGACCTGTACTCAGGACTGTGCGGACACCTACAGCTATCCTCATTATGCTCCTACTTGGAGTTCTGAGGATCACCACCCGAGTAAGAAACCCTTGCTAGTGTATTTCACTTTGTTTAAACTTTTTTTTTTTAGTTTGTATCAAAAGTAAATATACAGTCAATACATCAATCTAACCTGCTAATTCTCTATATTTATTTTTGAGGTTCGCTAATTCCTCTCTTCCACCCAGAGTAGTTAATATTGTCTTCCATAAAAGCAAGAGAACCTAAATGTCAAGAAAATTAAGACTAAATTCTGAGAATAATTTTCCAGGTTATGTTAAGATGGATAGAATCAAAAAATCCATGCAACCCTTTTTTAAAAAAAGTATGAGAGGGACAGGTGCTGCTTGCTTTGAACTCACCGAGAACTTCTATGCTTTTAACACAAATTCACAAAAAGAAATTCAAAGCTGCATAAAAACGTACTTTACGTCACATAATTCTTGCTGGGTGCAATGCCTTAGGCCTAGACCTTATTTGTTAAATCTTGACTTAACATAACTGAAATAGTGTGGCTCCGTCATATTTGGATCCTGAGCCATAAATGGAAAAATCCTAGGACCATAATTAATGAATTTGAGCAACGTTGCTTAGATACTTGCCGCCAGTTCAAATTCGAACCACCGATTCAAAGTTAAAGATTCAGGAAGATTTTGATTCGGTGATTGGCATTTGTACCGGGGGTAGGCACTAATTCAGCGACCTCTTCAATTCGTTAAGTTAGGTCCGTCTTTACCTTTTTCATAGGAAAGTGAGGAGCTGCTCCTGAGCAGTATCTAGTCACCATTGAGAGCAGTCGGGTAGCTAGAAGCTCTCCATCAGTCGGAGTATCTAAAAATTAAAAAATTAGATCTTTCAATGGATTGTAAGCATAATTTCAAGTAACCCTCCATGCAAAGATGGGAATGCCACCCCCCTCTCAATCTGTTAAAGGGAGAAACCGGCTATGTAACATTTAGAGCTGAAAGGTCAGTATTGTAGAGGAAGACTTCAGGGTTCACTTGATACTAATCAGACATTTTTAGGACGTACAATTTTTAAATAAGAACGTGAAGTCGTTTGTAATATTTCACCAGTTGTTTCAGCCACCAGAAGAAACGTTATTTACTATTATTTGATAACCCGGACAAAACATGTAAAAAAAAATTTTTAAACTAATTTGTTATTTAAGAACATATTCATAAGAAGAATTTATCGATGAAAGCCGTAGTAGAACCGAAAAATCTATAATTTCATTATCAATATTATCTTTACGATTTCTACAATTTTTTTGGCAGATTTCTTCAAAATGTCATATTCACAATTAAAGTTTAGAAAACCTCCAACAAGCGACCATAGCTGAGAGATTTTGCATAAACCTGCGAGATTTTAAAATTAATTTAAATAACTTATTTCCAATGATAGAACTTGATTTTTTTCTCGTTTGTATACATGCAAACTAATTTGTAGAATAGTGTTAGTTACATGTTACTTAAGAATTGTAAAAAAACGTTTCTTCTGGTGGCTGAAACAACTGGTGAAATATTACAAACGACTTTACGCTCTTATTTAAGAATTGTACAAACAGGGTATCCCACATCATATTAGATCGTCAATCGATCTCAATTACGATTGTCAGGACTTATCAGAAAATTAAAGAAGAATGAATCATTTTGAAAAGTTGAATATAAGGCTAGTATTAATATTGTCTTGCAGAAAATACTAGGTTTTTGAATAATATGTGTTTATTTTGTCGTTAATGCCTGGAGATTGTCTAATATGATATGGGACGCTCTGTACTTGAAAACGAAGCTAGCTTTGGTAGATGATGGTGTTCTATTGATGAACTTGAATGGATGCGTTCCTTTGTAATATGAAGACGAAGATTAAAATTACTATACGTGCTATAACTACACATTTCACATTGTTTATCCTTTGCTTTTAAATGCAAAAGCTTTCTGTGCTTCTTCAATCCACGCTCTGTCGTCAATTGTTTGTTGCAAATATCACAAGTAAAAACTCCAGTTTTGAGTTTACCCCCACACTTAGTGTTCTCCCAGTGTCGTTTCAACATTCGGACCTGCTTCTGACAAACCTGAAAAGATCGATTTCAACATAAATGGTAGATAATAAATTTCATTCAGAAAAGAATCACGGTTTTACAAGATAGAAATACTGTTACAAAAATAAGAAATAATAGAAAGATCTGAAAGTATGACAAAGTATGAGAAAACAGAGAGGACTGGACAGATCTAATTTTGTCCTTTTCCTAGTTCAGTAATGGATTCCTCTGGATTTATATTGGCTTGTTTCTTTGCCAATTCATTATTAGTAATAATATAAGTAATAGGTTAGATCTGAAAGGGAACCCGAAAACACTTCTTCAAAGCGAAAAAAATCGTTTTATATTTAAAGAATTTTGGATCGTCATTTAAGTGTCAGTTTTTAGGGTACCCCTGCCTGGATAGCCCGTGTATTTAAATCACTTACCGGACATGTTTTTGTCGTGTTTAGATGTACTCTTCTCATGTGTACTTTCAACTTGTCCTTGGTGTTCGTAGAAAACTCACATTTGTCACAGTGAACAACTTCCACCTCGTGAACATTCTACAAAATAAAACATTTACAGTTAATCACTAGAATTTTAGGACATTTAAACAAATGTTTAGGGTTATTTGCCTTAAATACCCCCAGTGAAGGGCTAAATAAGATTTCCTCAACTCCTTTCCACAGATATAACACATGGCATATTCTTTACCTAAAAATCAGTCAGAAATTAACAATTTGTTACAACATAATTTTCTTACTTTGATGAGAGAAAGATATATAGTTTGAAATCATAATGAACCAAGGAATAAATTATATTTTCAAATCAACTAGTCATTAGTCCATTGCCCATTTTAACAATCTGATCTTGCTCAATAATAATTATTTAGAAAATCGATAAATCAATCAATTATTTACCAATTTAAATTAACAATTAATGAATTTATTATACAATCAATCAATCAATCAATCAATCAATCAATCAATCAATCAAAGGTTGCACTAACTATGAGGACGCAAAATTGTGACGTTTAAAAATATAACATTTCTAAAATAAAAAATTACATAATTCATTTTCATAATTTACATACATACATAGTACATTCATACATTCATACAGTACAAGTTTTACATAACGATTGTAATTATAATGAAGATTACCTGACAGAGTTCACAGATAAGTTTATGAGATTTCATGTGTAAATCATACTCATCAAAGGTTTCAGACTGGTATCCACACTGTATCATGTTCATGTTAAAAAGTGTAATTAAACCTAGCTTTATCATTTTTATTTACTTTTGGGTTACAAATTTATTTTAAGTTATAGTATATATTTTTATTTCACTAGAAACAGGACCGAATTTAATGAATTGGAGAGGTCGCTGAACTACCTACCACCGGTTCAAATCCTGAATCACTGACTCAAATCCTCAAGAACGAAGATTTGAACCTGTTGTGGACAGTTCAGTGACCGAACTCTAATTCAATGAATTCGGTCCAAGATCGCATACAGAACCTTTATTCTATTTTATTCTGCTACTTTAATTGTTCCATTAATTTTATTCCAAATTTTCCCTTTTCCAGTTCCATTTTGTGAAATACTAAATAGTTGATGATTTGTTTTGCAATAAATATATCTGATTTCAATGATATTTTCATGTCTAGATAAAGCTGGTGAATTTATCTCTGAAAATTATGATTAGCATAAGATGCAGTAAATTTAATCTTATATTTGGAATGTTCCAATAACTGGCGGCTTTTTTTTCATGGTTCCTGAGGGCAAAGAGTTCCATGACTGTGTTCTTCAAATAAGTGAACATCTCTATGCTTCTCAGCCTAAAAATGAAATTAAGATATCTCTATCAAAACCCATAATCTCATTTTAAAAATCGGTATGTTATAACAACCTTCAATCTTGGCTTACTAAGGATTTCTACTTAACTTATCTATTCCTTGTCCTGTTGTGCTGTATACTAATAAACAGGCCTTTATCCCTTCCGATCGTCCCCCCCCCACCGCCATTTTCTAATTCCAGAATAAATGAAAAGTAAGAAATTGGGTTTAGACTTTTAATATTATTAAAGTGAGGCCGAGTTTGCACTAGAGAAGTATTCAACTATCCATACCTAGTTGAACTACTTCTCTCTGTTCATTTCGTATATTTCTCCCCTTTATTAAACTGTGAACTTACCTTGAGAACTAGATCACATTGATTGCAAGGATAGGTTTTATATTTCTTCTTGTAGTTCTCATCCTCCAACATCTTCTTAGAAGGCCGACCTATCCGGGCACCGGATGCTGTATTCCTCTCTAGTTTTGTGTAGTATGATGCACGATCTTCTTTAGCTGGTCGGCCAGGTTTTCGTACTCGGTCAGACGATGTTTTCTTTACTCCATTCTTGACAGGGGAGGATATCTTCTTCTCTCCGTTTGTTTCTAAAATTCAACTGTAAGAAAAATTCCGGATCAAAGAATCCAATAAATAAACCAAAATCAATAAACCAATAACAAAATAAGCCTCAGTCCGGGCCCCAAACTTTTTCTTAATCTTTGTTATAAAATATGATAATGATCGGTGAAATTTAAAAAATAAATCAAATTTAAATTGTTCAATGTGATTTACTAAGCTGGAAACAGATCTAGATCCAAGGAGTGTCCTGGATCCGAAACCATTTTTTCCGTCCGGATGGTCCTGGATCCGGATCCATTTTTCAGTCCGAATGGTCCGGAATAATTATCATAAAATAAATTCTGACCGCACAGATTCCAAGCTTACCGTCGAATCTCCGGTATTTCTTGACCGGCGTGTAATCAGAATCGTCACTCACGTCCGAATCCCCAGATTCGTCGGATTTAAAGGTTCGTTTCTTCTTCAACCGCGGGACCGATCGTTTAGGTTTCTTTATTGGAACTGTTGGGCTTAATTGGTTTAATTCATCTGAATGTTTGGATTGAAGAGAGTTTCTGGACAAGTTTGATTGGTCGGATTGGTTTGAGAAATGTGATAGGTTGGATTGGTTTGAGTTATCTTCGTTTAAATTGAGTTGACTGGACACTACATCCATAGGTAGTACACCACCACCCTCAGCTTCCTGTGAAATTATAAGATTAAAAAAATAAACAATGATAAATAAGCAAAATACTGCTTGCCGTCTTCGTTATACCTTTTAAATGAAAAACGAAGTTTGAGTTCTTTATATTAGTCATTGCTTTAGCATAAACATATTATTAATCTCGATATCCAATGTGGGCACTATAAAATAATAAAATTTAAAGTTACCCCCACAGTAACTAAAAGCTTTTATAGAAGGACTTTTGAAGCTGTCGATATGCTTTAATTTTTTAATATTCCAAAATTCCGTTAATACTGCTCAAAAAAAGTTCTGAATATTTACCTGTTTGAGAAGACCTGAATCGTATTTCAAACATCCATCTTGAACAGATTTTATTATTTTCTTTCTTACACTGGAACACGAGTCGGCGTCCCAACCCCGTTCTCCACTTTCTACCTCCTGTTCAACCTGAAAATACATTTTTTAATGCCATTTTTGCATTTTAACTAGATTTTATTTCATGAACAACATTCTAACATAGGTTTACTTATAATTTTGTTTTTATTCAAATTAACGGGTTAAACTTTAAAGAAATTTAGTAAAATGACACAGGAGAAAGATTAAGTTTATAAAAAAATATATAATTCTTGCGCCCTTGTTGTTACACCTTTGTATTTTTATTGAGATAGTAAGTTGGTTGTATTTGTTATCATGTTTAGAAAATGGGAAAATGAAAACAAATAAAAACTTGCCAGCAAATGAAAAAATAAAAAAAATTCAATTTATGGCAACTGTTTTTTAAGAGAAGAATGAAAAAGTATGACCTGCGAGTAGAACGGATAGAGAAGATTGAAATCTAACTGTTTAGTTGCAAGATGCAGAAGTAAAGAGGCAAACTTGATCTTCTCCAGGTTTGGGAATCCAGACTGAAAACAAACATGTTCTGTAATTGTAATATTCTTGTCGTTTCGTACACGTTTCCTTGTCCACTTCCACATACTTCCTGCCCTTTCCTTGCCTACTTCATGTCCTAAGTGGAATTGTCTAAAATTAACATTTACGACCTATTCCATGGTTTTCCTGTTCCGATGTTGTCTTGTATCATGGTTTTCCTGTTCCAGGGATATCCTGTTCCATGATTGTCCTATTCCATGATTGTCCTATTCCAGAGTTATCCTATTCTATGACTGTCCGATTCCAAGGTTTACCTTTTCCAGGGTAGTCCTGTTTTATGGTTGTCCTGTTCCAGGGTAGTCCTGTTTTATGGTTTTTCTGTTAAATTGTTGTCCTTTTCTATGAATGTCTTATTCCAGGATTATCCTATTATATGGTTGTCCTGTGCCATACCTTTTCTCTTATAGTTATCGTTTAAAGTTTTCATGGTTATTCTTATACTGTCCTGAACATACTACCTGAAGATCCTGTAAAACCTCCTGAAGCAGTGCAGCAGCAAACTGTACAGCTGAGGGATGGTCTGAGTCCAGGAGTTCACCAATATCAGTATCAAAGAAATCTAATCAATGTAATAATCAACAGTTGATATAAACTATATCTTCTATTTTAAGAGACCTTTTAATTATAGAAAGGCATGCCGAATCCGGTCTTTATTTCATTAATTGTTAAGAAAAAAACGTCGTTTTAATAGCTTGAAAAATGTTTTATTCTGTTTTAATCCTGTTTTAAAGCATAAATCCGAAAGTCATTTAACAGAAAAACAACAATTAACGCAGAAATTTAGGTTATCGATAACAGTAAAAATTATTTTTATTATAACGGATCTATCGCACAAAACTAAGTTACTTACCGATAGTCTTGCTTTTTGTTCCAATCTCGTTTTGATTACTAGAGCGTGTAGTTCGAGACAACCCCAGCTCAAGCTCAGATGATAACCCGGAGTTTTCAGGTTTAACAAAATCCATCGACTCTGCCAAGACTCGTCTGTACTTATTCCACACGGAGTTGGGTCTATGCTCCTCGGAGGAGGTGGAGCTGGAGGGAACCCTCGTCGTGAAGGATTTATGCAGCTTCAGGATCTTCTCCATCCTGGTCCGGACCAGGGTCAGACTCTCCGACGGTAAAATTATTTTCCAGAATTCTTGGAGTTCCTTCAGTTCAAAGCAATATTTCAAAATCAATGAAGAAAAACGAAGTACTTAAAGGGTCTGTAAGCAAAATTTCAAATGAACCTCATGCAAAGATGGCATTGTTCCTTTCATAACTGTGGAACCTTTATCTGATCAATAACGTTTTTCAAGGTTTCAAAAATTTAAATTCAGATAATTCCTACACGTTTATTTGTAGTAGAATTGCGCTAGTCCCTGTTGTAGAAAAACCACAATTGAAAATAATCAGTTTTTAAGAGTACAAAATTGATATCTAATGCATACTTTATCAGACAAAGCTTTAAAGGGTACCGTTATGAATCTGGCTTCGGGCATTGTCATCATTGCAAGGCTTACAGTCCCTTGATGTGTTTTTACCACTAAGGATTCTTGTGGGATTTTAATGAATTTTGCTTTCCTTGGTTATTTTTGTTATGGTTTTGAAATCAGTTTTCTCTCCTTTCCGCAAATAAACAAACCTAACAAATAAAATTTTCGTTATGATGGGTCTTTTAGTGAAGTTTTACATTTAGTTAACGGGTAAAACATGTTTTACAAGAAATATTTTAATAGAAAATATTTTAGAATTAAAAACTATCGAAGTTTTTCCCGCTTTTAGCATTTTGAGACTGTGTATAATATACTTTTAAAGAAAATCCCCTTTCGTATTAAAAACTGGTCAATAACCCAAAATTACCTCTCGAGGACTTGTTTCCCTGACACCGTAAAGGTTCCAAGTTTACTGAGAGGTTTAGGATTAGGTTCTAATACTGCCCAGGGTTCACTTCTTCCCTCTTCTAGTTTAACCAATCTAACCAGAGGGTTCCGGTTCTGTAGCCGGGACTTCTGTAGATCCGTCCGGGGGATCGTTACACGTCGATCAAAGGACGATTTTCGGTGGCTGGCTGGGCCCGGTGACCAAGTTTCGGTGGATCGGCTGTCTAATTCCGGACGAAAGGGATAATCGTCATCGTCGATGTCTAAATAATCAGTTTCCACTTTAATCTCTTGAATGCTTATTTCGTCAACATCTCTTAGAATATCTTTCTCGACCCCGAATTCTTCAGCTTGTACGGTTTTATCTGCCTCTGATTCGAGGCGACCTGCCTCCGGCTCGATACAACTTGCCTCCGACTCGTCATTTTTAGCCACTGATTCGACACAATCAGCCTCTACCGCTACCATACCCTCTGATTGTAAAAATTTCTTTTTAAATGCATAATTGTTTTTATGTGTTTCAGTTTTGGAAGTTTCTATCTCTTTTTCCATCTCTTTTTCAGACTCTTTCTCTTTCTCCTTCACTTCACAATCTTTAAATCCTGTTTCAACCTCAATCTTTTTCCTTTTCATTTCAGTGTCCTGATTCTCTTTCATCTCTTCTTGACGAGTCGTCATTTCATTCTTCTTTGAATCCTCAATCCCTTCTAAACCCAATTCTTCTCTCTTCTCTCCCTCCTCACTTAACACATTCTCCGAGTTATCGTCCATGTCTCTTACCATTTTAACTCTTTCAAGATAATCTTCCTACAATTATAAACTTCACGTTAAACAATTACTTGGTATTTGTTAAAAGAACATCCAAAAGCTTGAAAAAATATTTTTCCGCCGTAAGCAAGTAATATTCTTATATACCCCCCCCCCCATATAGATATTATTGAATCCTGTGGCGGGGGGGCATCAGTTATTCTTTTTAAAACCCTGTATTTCACCTGCTGCTGCTCCTCCATGTTTAATTCGAATTGCACTACTTTACTGAGAACATTTCATTACTCTAAAATTGAATTAAATTGAATGATTCAGTTCCAAATTTTCAAATAATAAGTTGTATAACATTTTAGCTCCAAATTATGCAAAATTCGGGTTTGCTGGGTCCGTCCAAGTATACGATTTTTGGTTAGGTTCCCCCTCTCTCCTATCAATTTTGTACAAGTATTATTTATTATGTATTATTTTAGAGTTTGGTTAAGTTCAGACAATTTCTGGGCCGTGCTCTGCGGCCAAGGAGCCGAACTTTTCTGCAAGAACAGGCTAGGGGCCGGGCGCTGCGGACACATGACCCATTTTATTCATGTGTTACATATGAGATGGGATTCGTCCTGGAGACCGTTATTTGGAAACCCCCCTCCCCCATCCTTTCAAATTAATACATAACCAACTACTATTCAGCTAAATTATTAATATTTAAGGGTTAGGTTAAGACACTTACTATGCCGAGTGCTGCGGCTAGGACAGGCTAGAGGGCCGAGCGCTACGGCTAGGACGGGCTAAGAGACCAGGCGCTGCGGACACATGACCAACTTATTCCTAATGTTAAATATGAAATGCATGTATAAATTGATAGGAAGGGGGGTCCAAAAATCGTTCTCTAGGAAATTACGCGTAATAAATACTTCATAATGAATTGAAAATATAGTGAAATTAAATGAAGAAGTTATAGAAATGTTTGTAAAATATTCCCCAAGGAATAAGGCCACCATCCGGCCTTTGAGATACGTCCAAATCGGACACCAAGTGAATTGAAGACAGATCAACTAAATGCTAAGTGTGGATTCCATTTAAAAAAAGAATACAATTAGTTGATAAACGGTTTTTACTTTGAGAATAAAGATCCTAATACGTTCACAATTTACAATGATATATAAATATTCGTAATGTAACGTTGAACAAATAGTTTTATTCATCCTAAAAGGCTGAAGTTTACTTTTAAGTTACAAAAGACGGACGAGGAATAAGGCGCAGAATTACAAAAATGCCTCGTATTTTTATAATCATAGATTTTAGGGCAAAGACGACTAATTCATAACATTGGCATCAAATCAACAATTCACATTACTTGCTCATTTGAACTATTTTTCTACCAATTCAGTTTTTAAATTTTTTTATTATGAAGGATTAGAGACCATACAATTAATTAACATGTACACAGAAATATTTCAAATGAACAAAAAAATAGTTCAAATGTTAAGATAAAAATAGTTCAAATGAACATAGTTCATATGAACATAGAAATAGTTCAAATGAACATAAAAATAGTTCAAATGAACATAAAAATAGTTTAAATGAACAAAAAAATAGTTTAAATGAACAAAAAAATAGTTGAAATGAAATACATAGTTCATGAATGAAAAAAAAATAGTTCAAATGAGAAAAAAATAGTTCAAATGAAAAATTTTTTAAAAAAATGGTTAAATGAAAAAAGGGGTCTGTCCTAGAGAACGATTTTTAGACCCTTTAAGGAGTATGAAATAGAACGGAGATACAACTTAACGCGGCCCGCCCTACCATTTGCAGACGGTACTCCATTTGTATAAGAAATATTTGTCTGATGTGCAATTACCGCGTATACAATAACCTCAGGAGCGTATTCAGGAATTTGTCCAGGGGCCGTGGCTTGAATTTTTTCCTTTCAGNGGGTCTAAATTGCGATTTTCGGGACTAATAAGAAAATTTAATTCGAATAAATCATTTTGAAAAATAACATAAGGCTTAAATAAGAATTTTCTTGCGGAAAATGATAAGTTCTTCGATTATTAAGGGTTTATTTTGTCGTTAAAGATTAGAGATAATCTAATATGATATGGGACGCTCTGTATATAATCATATGGTGTGGCGGGCCGCGTCAGTTGTATCTCCCTTCTATTTCATACTCCTTGATTGTATTACATGAATTACATCCACCCAACGCTACATCCGTCCTACGATACTTCGGACCTATAACCAGCACATGGTTTTTTTAGCAGCTTCAAGCTGCTGTTGGTCCGATGTACTGTAGGTCGCGGATACACACCTCATAAAAAAGTTAGTGTATACGACCTTATACTGCAAGGTCGGTTGCACAGCTAGCTTTCGATTCTATAATTGGCACAGGTTAAATCAGGTGGGTAGGAGAATTATATAATTGATTTCCTCCATCATCTGATGAGTTATGCCCCCCCCCTAAAAAAAAGTATTTATGTGGTAACGTGGTTACCGAGTTCTTTGATAGTATTTGAGGCAAATCTGTCCATGAGTTATGCTTGAATATCCAAACATCATAATGAGGATTTATCGGGGGTTTTTTTATGATAATTATATTATTGTCAAATCCCAATAATAATTAAATCTTCCTGTTATAAATATTTGATTTGATTTGAAAAAGACAAACATAGATTGTACATGTACATATAAAGTTATAAGGAGATATTCTTTGCATGTCTGTCCGTCGCTGTATCTGTAAATCATGACTTAAGTCACAATTTTTTCTACAAACATGGGAATCGAGAGACGACTTAAAAGATTTCGGATATTTAATGCATGGCAAAAAAAAGTAAAAAAAAACAATGATGTACGTCTAAAGCGAGCTTTTCATAAAGTTCTCTACCTTTTTTGTATCTAAAAAATTGACAATTTTAACTTATCAAAAAAATAAAATTTATTTCAATTTTTCAATATCTCCGTCAATTTTAAAGATACATAAATGGTGTAGACCACATTTTGACAATCTCAAGACCAGGCGTTCTCGATATTATGGATGTTTTAGCTGAAATACTGCAATATAAATACTGCCGCATGGATCTAAGACGAAATTAAGGTCGTCAATGAATTTCCATGTTTTATGGGACACTCTGTATTGTAATTAGTTTCTAACAAATATGCATACGTAATGGAAACCTATGGGGTGTGGACATAACTTTGCTCTCCTAGACTTCCCCTCACCCCTAAAAATTGCATTTTTACTTTTTAATCGTATCTGCATCCATCTGCGACCATCATATTCATCTAGTTATAAACTTTATATTCTTTTTTCAAAATTAAAATGTTTAGCATTTAGATATATTATATTTTTATTGTAAATACTTAAATAAAGTATTTGAGAAAAGAAAGTATTCATCCATTGCATTTCTGAGGACTATAGCAAAATTATACAAGAAAATTTTTTTGATTAAAGTAAAAATTTATTTCACAAATCTTGTAAAATGAAGTATAGAAACCGGATAGAAACCGGATAGAAACTGGATAGAAACCAGATAGAAACTGGATAGAAACCAGATAGAAACCGGATAGAAACCGGATAGAAACCGGAAAGAAACCGGATAGAAACTGGATAGAAACCGAAGAAACCGGATAGAAACTGGATACAAACCGCAGAAACCGGATAGAAACCGGATAGAAACTTTAGAGAAATGAGCTGAGTGTGCTGCCTTGGATTAGATTATCAAAATCAACGCTATGAAGCTTAAATCTTCAAATGTCACGAAATCCTAATTTCCTCGGAGTAGGACTCGACGTATTTAAGTTTAACATGAACCAATTCAAACAATATTCAAGGACTGAAATATATGTTCAACGATTTAAATTTTCTTTGATATTACTGTTTATTACAGGATTGCTAACAAAGAACCATATTCATGATTCCCTTCATCTGTAAACTTATCTTTTTCTTTGCCAAAACATTAAATAAACCATTAGAAGACTATGCAGTCGTCGTTGTATATATCAATACAATGAAGACCTTTTGTCTTAAAGGGAGTGTTCGCGAAAAATGAAAGGGGGTATAGGGTTAATGCGATAAAAAAGCGCTTTTGATCGCTACTAATCTTACTTCTATCTGTTGCGTCTATAAGGAGAAAATTGTTAAAGACGTCTCATACCGAATAACTATATATACAAATGTGGCGAAAGATAATCGATGACTGGAGGTTGTAATATCTGAATGATTTGTTTGAAATTAAATTAATTTTTTACGGTCTAAGTAGTATGTTGCAATTTTCTCAATTTGTATGGGCGCTTAGTTATTCGGTATGAGACGTCTTTAACAAGTTTCTGCTTATAGACGCAACAGATAAAAGTAAGATTAGTAGCGATCAAAAGCGCTTTTTATCGCATTAAGCCCATACCCCCATTCATTTTTCGCGAACACTCCCTTTAATTTTGATTTCTACCAAGGTTTCAAACAGTTTGGATGCACTTCAAAATTGAACCAAAGATAAGCTGTCAATTTATTAATTCTTTTAATGCTACTTTATAGGCTAACATAAAAATTGTCTTCATTGTATTGAAATAAACATCCACCACTGTATGTAAGACTAAAAACCTAATTTAACCTAGTAGTCGTCTTATCATATCAGTTTCAGGTCGTCTTTACACTCTATCTTTTTTGGGTAAGCCTGTACATATTTCTACTTTAAAGGGATTGTTCATCTATTTCACTATAAAACAGGATTTTCTGTGAACATGTCAGATCTGTCACAGAGAGTAAGGAGAACATGTCAGATCTATCACAGAGAGTAAGGAGAACATGTCAGATCTGTCACAGAGAGTAAGGAGAACTTTGCATGGCTCTTAAAATAAATCCAAATGATCCAAAATTTGAATTTGAATTTAAAAGTTAAATTAGGTATATTTGAAAATAGGTAAACAGAACCTTTAAGATAATGCTTGAAACTAACAACTCCCCTCTGTTTAACAAGTTTATGTTAAATATAACGGTATGCCTGTAGTGTATATACCATCTTCCTAATATAATGAGTTTAGAATTGAGAACTAATGAAGACAATATAGAAGATATATTTGGCTCCTATTCAAATCTAAAATTGAGCTGTTAGCTAATAATGATCTGCATATTGCAAACTCATCATTTATCAAGGGTGGATAATTTACGTAGGCAATACAGGGATAATTAATCATTTTTGAGGAAAAAATACCTTACAAAAGTTAAAAAAGTAATATATCCGCAAAATCTATCATGCAATCTAAAATCAAGAAATCCACAAAAATCAAGGAATATTATTTGATTTATTTTCTTTTTTAAGACAATTCATGATTCATCCCCCTTTCTAAAATAGTAAGGGTGGGTATAAAATATCAAAAGCAGGAATTATAAGATTACTTCTAATACTATTGCTACTATACAAATATTAACATTTCTAATTTAAAACAATAAAACTTTATAATTGTTAACTTTTAACAACCGTGCTCTGTATAAAGCATAAAACATAATGATGAAAAATTAACAGAAAATCAGAATCGTTAAAGAGTCATGAAGTAGGATCTATTTTCCGTTGTAAACAACCCACTTCCGGTGTTTAAACACGGTTATCCTTGGTTCATAATTAGGCAAATATACTCGGTGGTTTTAAAAATATAAGGTTTCTTGCTTGCTGAACTGCATGGGACAGGATTCGGAAAATTAGTACACTTTGCAGTTGGTGCCGTATTAACAAATTTGGAATCAACGGATCTATGACTTTCCTGACCTAACTGATCTGATTATTATATTGTTTTCAGGGGCGTTTACAGGAAGTGGTCCAGAGATGGATTAACATGCTTAGAATTTCCAAAGAGATTGGAGTTAATCCACTCTGAAATCATAGTTTTTACTCTTGCAGAAGGATGAGTGGGGGGGATTAAGCCCCCATAGCCCCCCTGTATGCGCCTTTGATGATTTTTTTTAGTAGATGTTTTTACACTTTAAACCGACATCGTTTTACTTATCATGAAAACTGTATGTAAAGTATAAAATACTCCATACTTTTTATCAGATTCTACAAAGTTTAGTTTTCGGTTGAAACCCCTTAGATCAGAAACATCTTAGGTTGGTTTAGTTTAAGGTACATTGTGCAATTCAGGTTCTGATGTGCAAGGACCAAAGCCATAATTTGTCAATTTGTAGAGGGGAGGGGGACATTTTTGTCATGTAACAAAAAGTTATTATTTCACTACCAATTTAAATTTGAACACTTAAATCACTGATATTTGTTACATAAGTTGCTTTGTGAAAATTGTGCGTGAAAATTCTAAAATGAAATATTTTCTGTAAAATATATGATTGAAAAAATTCCGCACCTCCCTGAGCCCCCTAATCTATAACCCCTCCCCCCACCTATAATTGCCTCCAATTGGGCTCAGGTCCAATGTTATGAAATTATTAAGATGAGCCATTGCCAGATAAATATTTCAAGTTCTGAATTAAGGACCGATACGATAAGATTTTTTGATAAAATTTTGCGTTATATTTTCGCAAATATTAAGAATTGAAACCCAAAATACTAAGCAAATCCCAGATTTTAAAGTTTTATGGATACAAATTGATTTTATTGAAGATTTATCATTGGTCAACCTGCGGCCACTGTTATATCCGTTTCATTGTAATGTTACAGATCATGGGCCTTTCTGAACATCAATATATATAAATCTAAATCTAAATTTTAGACACCCTGTATATCTATTTTATGTAAATAAATATGAATATTGAATATCCCGTTCATCTAAACACCAATTGTGACTCTATTTCTTGGATATTTACACAACCTATATATATTTTAGGGGTTGTAGATATTGACACTCTGTAATCTATTTCAAGGATATTGGCACCCTGTAATCTATTTCAAGGATATTGACACCCTGTAATCTATTTCTAGGATATTGACACCCTGTAATCTATTTCAAGGATATTGACACCCTGTAATCTAGTTCAAAGATATTGACACCCTGCAATTTATTTCAAGGATATTGACACCCTGTATATATATTTCAAAGATATTGACACCCTGTAATCTGTTAGAAGGATATTGGCACCCTGAAATCTATTAAAGGATATTGACACCCTGTTATCTATTCAAGGATATTGACACCCTGTAATCTATTCAAAGATATTGACACCCTGTAATCTATTCAAGGATATTGACACCCTGTAATCTATTTCTAGGATATTGACACCCTGTAATCTTTTTCAAGGATATAGACACCCTGTAATCTATTTCAAGGATATTGACACCCTGTAATCTATTTCTAGGATATTGACACCCTGTAATCTATTTCTAGGATATTGACACCCTGTAATCTATTTCTAGGATATTGACACCCTGTAATCTATTTCTTGGATATTGACACCCTGTATATCTATTTCGTATAATAAATATTAATAGTGAGCGACGAGCGTGAATAATTCTAACTGCAACCCTGAATGATATTTGATATTTATAGGTTTATATAACATATTGTCATAACAACACCTTCTGTCTCTAATGTTATAGAATTAAACCAACAAAACAGAATAAAATTGATAAAAACGTGTGTTTAGACTTTGTATAAAATACAAAGTACGTAGTGTACAGTGAGAATCAGAAAACTGTGACATGTGAAGACGACAATAAAGCAATATTTGTATTTTATGTTGTTACAAAGCGAATAGTTTTACCAGTAACGCATTCAACTGCACTTATGAAATGAAATGAGTCTGTTTTAAAGTCATAACTTGAGTCTAAAAGTCGTTTTCCTATTACAAAGTTTTCTGGTTATACTGTACATATATTGTTGATATTATACATCATAATATTCTATGATAAGAGTACGCACAAATATGTGACACATATATGCATCAAGCATGCTATAGTAACTTTATAAAAGAGGATTAAAAGTGAAAACCAGAATATTTTTATAATAATTAGTAGATAAAAGAAACCTAATTCACAGTTGATTTTGACTGTGAACCTATGAGTGGTAAAAGGTACACTGCAAAGCTTTATTCCTAATTCAAAAAAAAGAATAGGCTATAAATTTTATGTTTATTTTTAAATAGGTAAATTGAGCTCTTCAAGTCTGTAGACCTCATGATAAAATTCACGTACGAGTTGTCCAGAAAAGATTAGACATGTACACACATTTCATCCACACTTTTCTTACATTTCTGGAACTCTGCAACATTAATCATATTATACTGTAAAATGCCTTTATAACAGGCTTATGGCTAAACTCTACCGTTATTCTTTATATCGTTAAGACGTTATAAAAAAGGCTCATCCTTTGAGGGTATCACAGTATGTTTAAATCCTGTGTCAAAAATTGAATTAATTTAGAGTTATAAATGTGTTTTAATATTTACAATTTTACATCCTAGGATCAGAGCTCTGATATTTCCGTAAACGTTCTTTAATACTTTAGCAAAGATGCAAAATGGAGGATGAATGCACATCTTATAAACGCAAGTTCAACTGATTTGCTTCCACGGTGTGTCCCAATAGAAACATAAATATTTAATTACAATATACAAGTTGTTTTGCATGGTAAATTGTTTTAATTAATATAATGAAGAAAAGACTGTAAAAACACTTTAATGGTAAGGGCATGGAAAAATGCTTTGAAATAATATTGAGAGTGACCTCAAATAGATTTATTTAGTAAAAAAGTTACATGTAACATTTTGAGCAACTAACCAGAAAACAATGGCAAAAAAACTAAAATTTTAGTAAAACATTATTTTTTATTGAGACATGGTGTAACCCAATCCTAAAGATCTGTTTAGGGTGAGATGAGGTGTGAACACTGAACAGACGAACACCAAAAACAAACAGACAGTTGCGCGCGTGCGCCTAAAATGAACAGATGGGTTACCGTATGTCAGGGCTCAGTTCTCGTCTGAATGGCGGGGTGGAAGCATGATAGATAGACAGAGCTATATATACAGATTAAAAGTGAGACAGACAGTTTATTTTTAAACTGTGATTTTTCGAAGAATTAAATTAAATTAAGATTTCCTCAACATGCGATAAATTTACAGATAGTTGATAATTGATAAATATAAAGTACAATGATAACACCAATGTTAAAATAACAATAAAAAACACACCTCAATATTTTAGCTAAAAAGAAATAATATGTTATAGTAATGGACAGTAATCAATTTGTCAAACAGAATTAATAGAATTATTGAGGTTAAGATATTTTTTTAAAATTTTTGATAAAAACTATTCTTTTAATCGAATGTATTTTAATGAATTCCAGAAGTAAGCACTTGAGAGTTGCTGGAGAAAAGCACTCCCTTCTCCAGGTAAAATGTACTCCTACTCCGAAGTGATTAAACTCCCACCTCTAAGTACATATACTCCTTCTGCAGAGTAAAAGTACTCCTCCTCCACACCAAATGTACTCAATGGACTCCAATTTATCCTGTAAATAATGAGGAACTCCACTAGCCTCGCTCATGTTGGAGTCCTTCTGGACCTTCCTGACGGACTCCTTGATGTATCTGAAGAATTAGATTATGACGAGGATGATGGGGAGGGTGATGATGGGGTTTTAGATAATCTCCGAATACTTCGTGTCCTTGGAGATGGAAGTATTCAACATCAGGCAGCTAAACATTCAAATATTTTAATTCAACATTTTTTATATTTTCAATAAAATTATAGTCAAGATATCTTCCCAAAATTATCCTTGCTTTTGACTTTTGAGGAATTTTAGAATTTTTAAATGTTGCAATTCATTACTTGATAAAATTTTAATGTTAAATATTATTTCTTGCACTGTTGCACACATACATTTTCAGTGAAATTTGACCTTCTCCATATTCTTATTTTAGAAAAGTAATATTTGAAATTTCAAAATATAGTTCTCTATTCCCCTTTTCTGTTCAATCTGAATTTCTTGAAACTTTTCAAAAACGCAATCGCAATCGGAAAAATAGTTTGTCAATTATCAAAACTTCTTGACAATAATGATATATAACAACTCTACCCTCAAACTTACGGTCCAAATATCTCATGATGTGATTGTATAGCATGGCATAGAGGGTAGGTTTTTTATCTCACCCCCCCCCCCCCCCCTGCAGGGTCTAGTTGCGACAATACCATTATAGCATTATTATGTGTATTCAGGTAAATGATTTCGTGTCAATTATATAAAATACATTATACAATGTTAATCAAAACAATTAATTATCAAACAATTGGTCATAAAATGTCAACCATGGGGGAAATTGTTTTATCTTCACAATTTCATGTTTAACCCAAGATTTATTTTCTTTTTATATAACATAAGCCTCAATCAATTTACCTACATCGTACAATGTACAATGTACATATTTATCGTATAGTGTACAATGTACATATTTATCGTATAGTGTACAATGTACATATTTATCGTATAGTGTACATGTACATATTTATCGTATAGTGTACAATGTACATATTTATATATGTACCATTATAAGTATACTGGTTTTTTGTACACACATCATTTTTATCAATCCTAAAGATGAATATAAGAAATGATAAGAGGAAATAAAAATGAGATTTGGATTAAGGGAAAATAAAAAATGAATCATTGATCCAGAAATACTGAGGGAAAAATAAAAATGAATCATTGATCCAGAAATACTGAGGGAAAATATAAAATGAATCATTGATCCAGAAATACTGAGGGAAAATGAAAAATGAATTTTTGATCCAAAAATACTAAGGGAAAATGAAAATGAATCATTGATCCAAAAATACTGAAGGAAAATGAAAAATGAATTTTTGATCCAAAAATACTAAGGGAAAATGAAAATGAATCATTGATCCAGAAATACTAAGAAAAAGAAATGAAAAATATGTTTCTTGATTCAAAAATGCTAAGGGAAATTAAAAAAATGCGGTTCTTGATCCAGAAATACTAAGGGAACATGAAAAATGAATTATTGATCCAAAAATTCTAAGAAGGAGAAATGAAAGAGAAGTTTCTTGATTCAAAAATACTAGGGGGAAATAATAAACGCATTTTGTGATTTTAAACATATCCTCTATGAAAATAAGACCTAAAAATGCATCTGCATCATGCATAATAATATCTGCATCATGTATAGCCCTACCTGCATCATGCATAATCATATCTGCATCATACATAATCATATCTGCATTATACATAATCATATCTGCATCATACATAATCATATCTGCATCATGCCTAATCACATCCGCATCATAGATAATCATATCTGCATCATAGATAATCATATCTGCATTATACATAATCATATCTGCATCATACATAATCATATCTGCATGCATAATCATATCTGCATCATGCCTAATCACATCCGCATCATACATAATTATATCTGCATCACTTCCTGGTTTTTAGATATTTTTTGCATATTTTTGGAATACATGGAAAAGCTCTAGAAATTTTACTCCCAATATATTATACAGTGGGGCGCATACAACTGTGGAATATGAAGACGACAAGATATTATTTTAAAAAGTCCAATGAAAATTGAACAATTGAACATGAAACAAAGTAATTGTGCAGGGTACGCCGTCTTTCTTTTCTGCAGTTTTATGGGCCTCACTGTATGGTAGAGTATAGTGTTGTAGATTGATAAAAGAAAGTGAAATGAACAAACTTTATTTGATTATTTTAAACAAATGTAGAAATTCTAAAAAAATAATCTTGAATAAAAAGAGAGTAAAACAAACAAACTTCTTAAAGGGAATGATGTTTAAATGGTGTTGATTAAAGGGACATGTAAACGTAATTTGAAGTGACTCTCCATTTATAGAGTTGTATGTCCGATTCACGATGGTCTGACTTTTGCTCAAGAATGAAGATTATCTCTTTTCAATAACGAATTTCTCTTACAGAAACAATTGAAGAAATTGTAGAATTAAATACTTGTAAATCTAGGGAAAAATCTCCAAATTATTGATCAGATAAAGGTCTAAAAGAATCAAATTGTGAATCGGGCATTCCCCTCTTTTTTAAAATGAATGGTTACACTTATAAAATTGAAACGTTTGCTCTTTTGAGAGGGAGGGGGGAGATTTACCCCCCCCCCCCCGATATAAAAATCTACCCTGTTAAAAAAGTAATGTGAGCTGAATACCAGGAGGAAACAAACCAGAATATAATTCTCACAAACGATACAGATGCTTGGCACCTCTCCTTACTAGGGAAACCAAAACAATTTTAATCTAATAAAATATGTATTTTTTATCAAATACAGGGTGTCCCACGAAACATGACAGTATGCAAGACGACTTGAATGTCGTCTTGATTTTTGATATAATTTGCTGCGTTTATTTGTCAACCTAATTTTAGAAGTGAATTTCTAGAGATAAAAATCACAAAATTCCCCTAGTCCTGCCATTTCCAAAATGTGGTCTGCCTTTTTTGTGCTTTCAATATTGCCCGAGATATGAAGAATTTCGTTCAGATTTCGACAATTTTGCTTTTATTTAACAAAATTGAAATCTGAACCAAACTCTTTATATCTCCGGTAATATTGAAAGCACAAAAAACGCAGACCACTTTTTGGAAATGCCAGGGCTAGGAGAATTATGTGATAATTGTTTCAAGAATCATACATGTTAAAGTAGATAGAAGACTAATTATGGCACAAATAAATTTAAATATCAAAGACGACTTTCAAGTCGTCTTGCTATTGCCATGTTTCGTGGGACACCCTGTAACTGTCCAGCATAGATAGTTAGACGATAAGACAGTTAGATAGATAGACAGTAAGTCATTAGAAAATAACAAAGCAGTCACCCCAATTGACATTTGGACAGATATTTAGGTAGATAACAGTTAGACAGTCAGACAAAAAGTCATCCGAAAATAGAACAGCTTGGCAGTCAGGCTGTCATGATGAAGTTCAACAGCTGGATAGTTAGACAGATAGACACTTTGACAATTTGACAGCTTGACAGTTAGTAATTAGAGAAGAAAATAGCTTGAGAGTTAGACTGTGAGACCGTTGACAGCTAGTTAGACAGATAGACAGTTAGACAATTATGCATTTAGACAGTTATTCATCTATATATTAAACCTGTAATCTCTGTTTGTTTGTCCGATCATAACTCAGGAACCCCTGGACAGATTTGCTTAAAATTGTGATAGGGGAACTTGGGAGAAACTTGGGAATGATTTGTTCAAAGATTCTAAGTTGAATAGGTCGACTTTTATGTCAAAGCTCGGGTAAACGGTGGGAATAACTATGACTACCTTGTGCAACGCTGGGTTCCTGAGCTAGTTACAGAAAAAAATTAAAGAGCTTCAGAGTTAGACTGCTTAATAGCTAGATAGTTAGATAGCTTGACAGTACATCAGTACAGATCTATATAACTACTAACCAGACAGCTAGGCAACAAAGAATATGGACAGTTCGTCTAGATATTGTATGGTTCTTGTCTAGTAATCTCCAGTATCAATGTCTGCTTGGTTCTCCTGTATTGGATTTATATCCTGTTTATCTCCTATACCCGTAGTACTAGATGGAAACCTCCTCTTCTTCCTCATATTCTTCTCCTGGGTCTTCTCCTAGCAGCTAGTGCAGGTACAAGGTTATTCTACTCCTTGCAGCTAGTGCAGGTACAGGGTTATTCTTCTCCTAGCAGCTAGTGCAGGTACAGGGTTATTCTTCTCCTAGCAGCTAGTACAGGAACAGGGTTATCCTACTCCTAGCAGCTAGTGCAGGTACAGGGTTATTCTTCTCCTAGCAGCTAGTAAAGGTACAGGGTTATCCTACTCCTAACAGCTAGTGCAGGTACAGGGTTAACCTACTCCTAGCAGCTAGTGCAGGTACAGGGTTAACCTACTCCTAGCAGTTAGTGCAGGTACAGGGTTATTCTACTCCTAGCAGTTAGTGCAGGTACAGGGTTAACCTACTCCTAGCAGCTAGTACAGGTACAGGGTTAACCTACTCCTAGCAGCTAGTGGAGGTACAGGGTTAACCTACTCCTAGCAGCTAGTACAGGTACAGGGTTAACCTACTCCTAGCAGCTAGTGCAGGTACAGGGTTAACCACACAGGATGAGACTGCAAAGAGGACCAACGCCACTGTGCGGAATTTATATAGTTTTGTTCTTACATTTAATTATTCCTGCAGCAGTAAACTTGTTTCTTTGCTGCAACGTTAAACTTATATATTGAAACCAAAATAAAATCTTGACAAGAATTTAAAGTCGTCGTCTTATCATTTGTGGGTAACACTGTTTGTCTCGTTCAATGTACTTAAAACCAAGGATGTAATGCAAGGAAAGTTATTTCAGAAGTGTACACATCTTTTGTACTGCAGTGTACTGTCTCTAGGCGCTAATGTAAACACAAGACGGATGTCGAAGCCTGACATGGGATCCATCTTTCACATTAAAAAATCAATTAAATATTCTGGTCATAGGAAACTATTATATGAATTTTCAAAATTATCAAAATTTAATGCTTTTAAACTCCTCGGATACTAAACGAACACTGATGCATCTATTCTTGTTTACAAATTCCGCCCAGAGAGAACTGGTTTTAATATGTTCGCAGAGTATACGCGACAGCAATTAACTTTCCTTGCATTACAACCTTGCTTAAAACTATTTTGTTTTTTAAATAATTTCCTATTTTTGGCAAAATTGACTTGACAAGCTTGATCTTTTACTTCATATATGGATTAAAAAATGTATAATTTGAAATTTGGCAAAGTGGCATTAAAGACATTCTCGCTAGTTTATGACTCACAGCTAGTTAACTATTTTCTTCTAAAGCAGTTAATGTAACCTGACATTTTAATCTTGAATTTTTCAGGGTTCCCTAATTTACATACTGAGAGTATTTTTTATTGCCAGGTTAGTGGGTTAATCTTATACTATCTACTATCTACTATCTACTATCTACTATCTACTATCTACTATCTACTATCTACTATCTACTATCTACTATCTACTATCTACTATCTACATTACAATCTACTGTCTACTATCTACTATGTACGATCTACTATTTACTATTTGCTTTAACTTTGTTATTGTTTGGAATTTTTACAATCTGTAAACTAATTTGAGTAATTAAAATATGAACGTTTTGTTGTATACAATGAAAATTCACAATTCTAATACCAAAAAATGCGCAAATTCAGTTATTTCATTTCTTCATTTTTTGGAATTAAAAGGACACCCTGTATCTACTATATACTATCTACTATTTACTATCTAGTATCTATTATCTACTATCTACTATTTACTATCTACTTTTTCATAAATTACTTTTTGAAAGTGAAATGAGTCCTTGTACACTATATGCCCAATTGTTGTGTTTCATCCTCATTGGACTATTTTAAACAGTCGTCCTTCAATTCCATAGTTTATGGGTTCTGTGTCCGAATTTAATGAATTACAGCCGCGTCTCAAAACCCCCACTTAAACTGTAGCTATCTAAACCAGCAGAATTCAAAGTTTGGAAAATCAATGTCTACGCCATCAAGTTGCAAAGATACAGGGATTAACAACTTTAAATTGCGGCGAGATATCAGTTTCTTGAAACGTTAAAATTATAGAGCTATACGGGGTCCTGGTCATTTAGAAACCCTATCAGATCATCTATCGAAAATACACAATTTGTTTTGACAAATACATAGTTAACCACGACATATATTGATAAATTAATTGATTTTATTTATATTTGTACCGTAGGTTGGCATGTGTATACAGTGGTACATAGAGGAGAGATGGAAGTGCAGTACAGTGGTCCCTATTTCACATCTACTTTTTACTCTCTATCCTCTTCTACTCTTCGTTCTTGTGCTTATATTCTCTTCTTTGTCAAGGTAGGAGAGTGCAGAGTCAGCATAACTGATAAATACTGAGAGTCAGAGACCGTAATTGTCTTGGTGAATTATTTTGAATTTTCGGTACGTATCGACTAAAAATTAGTAAATAACACATTAAAATTGGTTCATTTTAGTAACATAACTTCTAGCAACTTAATGAATATATATAATTAGTATGATAAGGGTACAATTCTGGTATATTCAGGGTTACCCACAAAGGATGAGACTTTAAATATGGCTGTGCGGAATTTATTCAGCATTTTTTTGATTCTCTTTGCCTTTGTCAACTTAGCCAGTTTATCCGTTAAGAACTATGTAAATTGTTAATTGCACAAAATCAAATTCATCCGTAGGATTGCCAAATATTCATAGTTTCAGGTCCTCAATAAAGTCTCATCCTCTGAAGTAGGAAGACGGAGCAAGTTTATTTGATGTTTTTACAAAGCAAAAAGTATAATAGAACTTTATTAAATCACTTATTAATTGAAATGTCCTGTTTACACTGCACAATTGGACTATTTAAAGTAATAACTTGAGATGTCCTATTTCAGAATTTTCTCACTGTATATAATTCGTACAATATCCAACTACTAAACTGTTAATGTTTAGGATTAAACAAGACTAATATTTGTTTTCAATTGTATACATGTCCATATTTTTGGTTCATTATAATTTATAAGATTTATAAGTGAATAAGAATAATACTGAAAAGTTAAATTATCAGTACTTTGATACTGCAGTTGATACTACAAACCCCTTCTTAAGAAGAGCTCTGAAATATTTTTAGAAAAATATTTATTACAACAATTGCCAATTTCAAAATACTTAAGAATATTTCTTATGTAATTAAAGAAGAACAAATATAAAATTCATTCTAAAGTTTCTTGTTCTTTATAAGTTCTATCTGTTACAGTTAATTTGAAATTATGATGTAATTGTTTACTAGCTGGGAACCCAGGTTTGTTAATCCACTCTAGTTAGAGATTTTTAGTCTATCTAAAAACATTTCAGTGGTTTTATCGAGTTTCCCAATCAACATGTTAAGCAAATCGGTTTAGGGGTTCATAAGTTATGATCGGATATCCAAACAAACAGACAGACAGACAAACAGAGATTTCAACGTATATTGGATTAAAAGAAAATTTTAAGTACATGAATGAAATTGTATGAACACTGTATCACTATGCAGGAAATCCCGAGAGCATTATTATGAATCCCGATCTATCTGGTTAACCCTGCTGTCCCATCTTCCTGTGTGGATAGCCTGGCCGGCAGCTGGTGTAACCTTAGACGAATACTTCAGCATTATCTGTGGTAAGTATTAGCACTGGAAATAGAGATACTGTGGTTAGTATTATCATTAGAGAACAGAGATACTAGCGCTTCTAGTGGGAAGTGAATTTAAATCTACATATATATAGTTAAACTCTACTGTATTCATTTACGTTTGTATTTGTACTCCATAACTCTTAACAAAAACTTCTTAGGAGAATGACTGATGAATTGATAATGATAGTAAGTCATGTCACCCAAAATTGTACTTGATTCCATCTTCTCTTTAGGTCTTTTTTGAGTTTAACACTTTATACTTTAAAGAATTTGAGTCTTTGCCACAAACTCAAATTTTCTAAACCCTATATCTTTCCAACCCAATGCCGTAGAACTTAAATATTTCCAACTATGAATTCTGGTAGATCAAATTAATCTAAGTTTGAAATATCAAAAATTTGCACCAACAAGTTGCTAAGATATAAGGATTAGAAAATTTGAGTTTGTGACAAAGACTCAAGTTCTTTACAATGATATATACCAAAATTTTAAGTTGGAAGATAACTGATCACTACTGCAATGTAGTAAACAAAGTAATCAAAACGGGTAAAAAATGTCAACCCATATCTCTGAGTTTCTAACCCGTCTCCATCAGTCTAAATTCTTTCTCTCATAGATCAATACTACATGTTGGTGTTAACTTTAATGTTAATTAAAGGGATTGCTTTGCAATATTAAGTGACCCTACTGTTAAAAAGATGGGCATGGCAGATTCACATCGGTACTCTTGATATCTTTATCTGATCAATAATGTGGAAGATAACTTGGTTTTTAGCTGTAAGGAGTTTTTTATTTCATTAATTTCTCTATTCTTTCTGAAGAACTATAGTAACTTCTGTACAGAAACCACAAAAAACATGGAAACCTGCCATACATATAAGCAAATTAAAACTTAGTTTTTGCCAAAAGATACCAAACCTCAGAATATTAGGAATTCTCTTAATTTCAAGTGACCCTCCATGCAACGATGTCAATGGAGTGGAAGGCATGGTTAAAAGGTGTTGAATTCTGATGTTTTATAAGTGATATGCAATTCATACTTGATTAGAAAAAAGTTTTAATGATACCGTTGTGCATAACTATAAGGCATTGCAATCTTTGCATGACGACTAATCGATTTTTGAACATTTAGAAAATCCACGAATCTTTTTTTCTAAAATCCGCGAAACTTTTTTTTATCTTTTTTATTCAAAGAGAAAACGTTTACAATTGAAATAAAAGATGTGCGCGAAGCGCCCTAAAAGTCTAGTGTTATATACATACTGGATTATTTTTGCATGTACATTTCAGTGAACAATCCTTTTAAAATTAAAATATTTCAGGCCTAGGTTTGCAAGTTATTGTTCTCCTGACTCTACTTATCCTCCTGGTTCCTCGGTCTAGATATCTCACCTATCTGAGCAGGGACGGATACAACAAGTTCGAAAACGATCCGTACGCAGTTCACTCAGACGCAAGATATGCGTACGGAGGCTCCAAGGCCTCCTGGGAGCCTAGTTTCTACTCTTGGAAACAGCAAGGAGACAAGGAGAGCTCCTATCTCGGGTTCCATCGTCCTACCAGGGTAGTTCCTCCTTCTCCTTCCTCTCTCTCTCATTCAACCTTCTCACCTGGACATATTTACCAGGATAGGTTCTCCTATATCATTCCTCCTCCTCCCGTCCCAACCTTCAACTATCCGTCCCGTCACCTACCAGTTCTCTATCCTAGAGAAAAGAGATTTACTCCTTCCTATCCATCCTACAAAATTCCAGCTCAAGCTCCGTATAGATATATTGATCCTAGAGCAGGATTTAACCAGGGGAAAATTAATCCTAATGATTATTTTTTCTAACTAATTTAAGAATCAAGCGTTCTGAAATTGAGAGCCTTAACTTGTTACATTTTTATGCCTGTTTTCTATTTAATATTATTTATCATATAAAAGTGAGAATACAACTAGTCAGTTTAAGAAATTATTATTAAAGACAAACAAGCACATTCAAAGTAAAACAACTAAAAAAGAGCTGACCTGATTTTCTATTCCCTTTATCTTTGCAACCCTATCTCGGACACTTTTAATATTTCAACCTAAAAATTCTGTCAGGTAAAAAAGCCTAAGTTTAAAATACCATAAGCCATTGCCATCAGGTTGCAAAAACATAGGGGTTAGAAAACTTTAGTTTGTTGCAAGAACTCAACTCCTTTATTTGTAAATATTGTAAAAAGGGAAAACAATCAATCTAGTCAGAAACATAAATTTAAATTATTACAATTGCTCAAATTCTTAGTTAAAAATATTCCATTTATTATTGAGGTAAAAATAACGGAAAAACTGAAATAAAAATAATCACAATTCTAGTCACAACATGTATTTGAGCGCTTTCATTGTTCATTCTGAAATATAAAAGATCAGATTTAGATTTCCTGAAAATGCTTATCTTATTCTCCAATAGTTTTGTACAGTTTGGCACTTGTCAATATTAATTAATGTGAAAAAAATTCAAAAAGTTGATCTCCAATGTAGACGAAAATATTTGAACATGTCCAGGATTATTGTCGTCGTTGTAAATAACCTTGCTTATTGCTTCTCTTCTCGTGGTTACTATTTTATATTCTGAAATTAGCTGTATTCAATTCCTGACACGACTTCAAGACGAGTCGTATATATATATAAATTGTTAGTAATCATTATATGACGTACAGTTTAACGCATGCACACTGTAAAAAATATATTGTTCTTGTTAATTGAGTTTAAATTGAGTGTTTTGTATTTATTATTGCTATCTAAATATTGATCATTATATGCGTTTAAAGGAAGTGTTCGCAAAAAATAAAATGGTCATAACAGAATAAAATTGTAAAACAGTAATTTCTGATTTATTTTTAATCTAATTATGGTTAATTAGGAAACAGCAAACAGTTTAACATAACATACTTTACGTTCTGAAATAAATAATTATATTTTATTTTATCATTTAGAATTATAAAAATAATTTAGAAAAAATAACATTAGGGCAATAAAGTAGACAAGTCAAACTCCAGTAAATGACACGATTCAGGGTTACCCACAAAGGATGAGATTATAAAGACTACCTGAATCTCGTATAATATGAAGATCCCTAGTTTAAATTAAGTATTCTGCATTACATATAATCTTTTAATGGCTTATTTACTGATTTGGAAAAGAAAGAAACAAATTAAAGAATCGTGAATATTAGGACAGCTACAATTCTGCACAGTCGTCTCTGAAGTCTCATCCTTTGTGGATAACCCTGTATGTTTTTTAACAATAAATCCTCTTATTGAAGAGCTAGTGTGTAACTTTGCTTTACTTATATTTGTGTATAAAATCAACCCATGAGGAGCTACGAGGTTCACACACATTTTACCTTCTGCTGTTATTTCACTCTTCAGCATTCGTAGGGTTAATAAGAGAATTCGGTTATATTCAAAGAATATATTTTCTGCAGTAATAAATCTTTTATTTGATTAAAACACTCATGGTAAAGGTTGGTTTTCAGGTACACAAGGTCGTTTTGTAATACAGTGATAAACTTGATTTGTGTGTTTGACCTTTCCAAAAAGAACAACGAAAGTTTGACCTCTAGAAAGCTTTGATATGAACGAAAGGGAACTAAAAGCGTATTTTCATGTAACCCTCAATGCAAAGATCAAGTGTTTCTGATAATTCCTTTACGTTTTCCTGCAGTATAAATGCACTATTATAGAAAAAACACACAATAGAAAATAATCCGGTTTACAAATTATAAACATTATTATTACTTAACCAAATAAACTTTAAATGGTACCGTTGTAAATCGGGCATTACCACTTTTGCATGGAGGGTCTCTTGAAATTACACTTACAGTCCCTTTACAGTAAAAATATAAATTCTCTTTTTATAGGCTGGATATATTTTGGTTAAAGAGAGCTGATCAAAACTTTATTAGAATTAATTTTATAAAATGGCTATACAAGTTCTAAAATCAAGAGCACAATAATAAGCTTATTTAGCTAATTTAGGTTTTTTTCTTCTCAGCATAAGGTTTACTGCACTTTAAGGAGAGGTAAAAGAAGGGTAGGTTTGAGGAGTGGTAAAAGAAGGGTGGGTTTGAGGAGAGGTAAAAGAAGGGTGGGTTTGACGAGAGGTAAAAGAAGGGTGGGTTTGACGAGAGGTAAAAGAAGGTAGCTGGTTTAATGATTTAGAAAAAAAGTTTTCCACCAAATACAAGAAATTTCTATTTCTTAATACGTTTGCAGTGTGTACGCACAATTTTATTTCATTTAGAACTTTCTAGAAAGTTTGAATCCACATGCAGTCGCAATAATCTTGATTTGCTACTTTTCTGAAAAGAATCTTGAATTCAAGCTAAAACTTGATTTAGTTATTCGTATAGCATTTGTTGCAGCATTATGTACATTAACACAGCAAACTAAACAGAAAGCGAAGGTAGGTAAAATCTAGGCAACATCACGTAGGTACAACTTTGCAACCTCGTAGCTCCTCTAGCTTGAATTTTACGCACACAAGTAGGAGAAAAGCAAATTTATTTTGTTCTATAATTGAAATAAAAAAACATTTTTGTTTTTCTGTCTTCTATATAATAAAACAAGCTAATCATTCATATATATGTTGCATATTGCCGGATAAACGGCTAGACTGATTGGGCTAAATTTTTTGCGGACATTAATTCTAGTTAGAGGCTAAAAAAGATTTTTTTTCAAGAATTTTTTTTTCTCAATGGGCAATGCCGGGCCCTTTAGCTAGTTAAACGAGTTATGATTAAAAAACAAAAAAGATTTCAATCTTTCTTGCAACTTACTTTAGTTTGACGTGGTTTTAAACCAAAGGAATTGAGTCATTCCATGCACAAACTAAAATTTTCGAATACTTCGAATATCTTTGCAACATGATGGTGTAAACCTTTGATATTTCAATCTACGAATATTTGATCTGACAAAGACCATCATTTTAAATATCAATAGTCTACGACATCATGTTGCAAAGTTATATTGACTAGAAAATTAAGAGTCTGTGGCATTGCATTTTACATTTTAAATGTTATGTTTATCTCTCTTCTTTTTTGAAAGATAACTGTATTGTACGTTCTTCCATTTTGGTTGGTTGAAAAACCCCCCCTCTGACTTCTACACCTTGATTGATGAGATTTTAGAAGTGTTCACTGCATGCAGGGTGTCATAAAAAAAACTAACATCGAATGTGCATATATGCATTAACAATTAAAACCTGTAGCGATAAAAACAGTTTAAATAAAGAATATAATTATAAAGTGGTAAATATGATCATTCATACTAGACACGAAACCCAGTTTAATTTGAAGTACCAACCTGACTTTTAGGCAACAAGAGCAAGTTGTATCATCAGTACAGTATATATTTACAGACTAAAGACAGCAAAACGGTCCGCAAATGTATCATCCCAGCTTCTAGTAAAATCATTGTGTTTCAGTGGAAGTATATTTATTAATCCCAGTTTTTTTTTGTAAACACTCCCCCCTCCTCCAACATACTCGTGAATCTTGTGTCTAAATAAGGTAGCAGATTACCAACATGGTTGCGTAAGGTTGAATAATACAAATGAACTTGATTTATGAGAAGTCTAGAGTTCGACATCAGTCACATTTATAAACACATTCCTTGCTCACAACTTTTATAAATGGGAATGTAAACGCAATTATTAAAAAGAAAGACATAAAGAGTTGAACATTAACAAAATATTTAAAGTTTAAAGTTTGTTTGTTTTGTGGGCAAAAGAGTCTTGACGGCGGAACTAAATCTGTTCATTAGCTAATACTAAGTACTTGTTAATGCTATAGGCAACGAGGTTAGGACATAAAAACTTAAAGAGAGCTAAGCTGTAACCAAACAACCAAACTAATCATGTCAAGAATCTTAGAGTCTAGATTTGACATTCAAAAGCCAAGTCAAAGAAAGCGTGTAATAGATCTTGAAATAGAATCGTTGAATTTTTATGCAAGCATAAAATTGTAAAATAAAGTTCTCAAACATATATCTAAATACAAGTTGTGATAAACTGGTTTTGATTGACTAGAGATTGTAAAAATGCAAATTTTCAAATTGAAACTCAAAGATTTCATAATTTATAAAATGTACAGTGTGAGTCAAAGCGATTTTTTTTTTTCGTGAAATTGTCATGCATGGTCATGTTTTCTTTTATATTCTACACTTTTGATATTGAGAAGAAAAAAGTTTCGCGGATTATTTTGTGGTACCATGTGACTTTAAAAAATGAAAACAATAGTTCAAAATATTGCAAAAATACCATGCATAAGAATTTCATGATAAAAAAATAGTTTTTAAGAAGCCGATGCTAATCGCACTTTTTTACTCACGCTGTCACACAAATTAATACCTCACCCCAGTTAAAAACAATAATTCCTTTTGTCTTTTGAAAGTTAAAATTAATCCCAGCTTTTTAAAAAAGTGAACAGTCTTTTGATAATATCCTGTGATATTATGGTTTTAAAATCATTGATAGAATATGCTTGAAGCTTGAATATATTAATTCATGCATATTGAGATGAACAAGTGACAACCTTATATTCATATGACAAAATATTAAATATATACATTAAATCAGCTCAGCTCTCTAAGGTCAAATATATATATAAAAACCCTTTTTATGTAAATCGCATTGTACGTAAAATGGAAATATTTATTGCTTTCCATCATAACTCCTAAATTAAAGAGTTATAGAGAAGAACAAAAATGTTTTGAATTTCTAATATGTAATCAAATAAATTTGAATTTCTCATACTTGTGCATTAAATCCCAATTAAAGGAGCTACGAGATTACAAAGTTGTACTATAGTGAGGTCGCATACATTTTACCTTCTCTTTCTATACTAGTTTGCTGTGTGAAATGTCTCAATTAGCAGACGAAAGAAAACTATCTTTAGAGCTAACATTTCAAGCACCCAACATAGCCTAATAAACCGAATTGATGTATAAATAGTAAAGCTCAAAAAAAAGGTTAAAAAGTACATAAAAATAAACCTCTAATTATACGTGAAGACACATGTGATTAAATTTCAGTCATACCCAAAATCAAATTTGATCTGCTGTTTTACATTTTTTTCACCTATACCCCGATATGATAGAGAGATAGATAGTTAGATAAATAGATAGATAGATAGATAGATAGATAGATAGATAGATAGATAGATAGATAGATAGACAGATTGCATGCAATGCTGTACGTAATGAAGATCATATACCAAAGGCGAAAAGTGTGTATCTGTATACAATGTAAGTATGTACGTCATGTATATTACATCTATATTACGTGTATATTGTATATATATTGTATATGTAATTACCACCATAAACTACATGTATATATCCATCTTGTGGTTAACATCTTAACCTGCTTTATATAAAGGCATAAAATTAAACTATTCTGGGGGGGGGGGCAGCCCCATCATATTGCATCCGAACTAATTCTCCTCATTGAACATTTGAGCCACCTACAAATGTCTTCAAACTAAAACTATAACGTATACTGTCAAACTTTTGTAATTAATGTTTAAAATGAGCACAATAAAAGTTAACATTAATTGATTTACATTACAGCCTTTCATAGTTTTTACCCGTAGCGCTCAAATTTTGTAATTAACCGTCAGCATACTTAAATACTTGATTTGAAATATTATTTTTGAAAATATTTTTTTATATGAGGGTATAAGGTGCTAGCAAGCCAATCA